TCCTGATTTGGAAGTTGTTTGAAAGTTAATTTTTTCTCTGGAACTCCATTGGTTTTGGTCAATTTCTTCCTCAGTCACTCAAAATTGGGAAACTAGGGTATTGTCAGGATCTGAACCCAGGGCCTCTGCTGTGTCTGGTGGTGGCTCTACCTGCTGAGACACTCTGAAACCTTGAATAGCTCCTTGCCTGCTCTCATGTGTAATCATCAGGTAAACCTAGTTTCTGCTGAACTCTCAACTCCTTGCTCCTTCCTTGAACTTCCTATTTTAGCCATGCCTCTGCATTTCCTGTTTGCCAGATTATTGTGCTCCTGCCAATATCTTGCTTCCTGCTCCCTCTGTGATAAAATCTGCTCATACTGCTACCCGTCTACCGTCCTTTGGCTGCTGTTTCACCGACCACTATCATCGTCTTCTGCTTCATACCTGATACCTTTGGCTACTGACCTCGGCTTGTTCGCTGACTACGCTTCTGCCTGCTCCTATACTACTAGCGTCTGCTTGTGTACCAAACCCAGCCTGTTGTACCACAAATTTGCCTGCTGTTTCAGCTACTGGACTCTGAGCTTGAGCCCAGATCGTGACAGGTATCTACTGATGATAGATATCTGTGAGTGTATTCTAATTAGAAACATCACCATTGCCGGTCATTAGAAAAATAAGTGGGCTGCCAGTGTAACCTCCTAAAAATGATAGCTGCCGTGCTGTCCCACCGATCCTGTGGCTTCATTCATTTCTGGGTCACGAGACTCTGGACTAGTTTACACATCAGATGTAGGATTTGAAGTGCCACACCAATTAAAATAGTCCAGATACAACTTTATTCCATTAGTGTCGAGGGACATTCAAATAGAGTAACCCACCTCCAAGTTTTCACCACCTAGTATACACATCAGGCCAGCTAGATACAGAAATTATTCCATGCAATGGCATCTACCCATTATGTTCAAAACCTCCATTTAGGTTCCACTGACACTGCTGTGCTTAGATAAGATGCATCACCAAAAATGCACAATCAGTGGCGGAACTACCGCCGGTGCAGGCGGTGCCAGGGCACCGGGTCCTAAAGCTGTTGGGAGGCCCAGTAGGGTCCGGTACTGGGCACCCCCAGAGTCTCAGTGCGGTCCTGCAATATATGGCAGTGCACGGTCCCGGTGTTCGAACACCGGGGCCCCCCACTGAGCACAATGGTGCCTTTATTCCAAATTGCACCCCAAAGCACCTTCTCGGTGCATGTGCGTTTCTGTGCTCTGTCGAAAATGCTGCCTGTATGCAAATGATAGGCTGCCCTAACGCAACGCGGTGCTAACACAGCGTGACAGTGAATGGGACCTTAGGTTTTGTTCATATCTGTGTGTTTTAAGTGTGTTGCAGCTACTTTATGGTTCACATGCACTAGTAATATATTTGTCCATATATAATGGGCATTTTGCTGCATCAACAATGCAATCCCAAGGACAGTAAATTGCAGCAGACTGTTTCTTCTACTAATTTCTACAGATCTCACCACTTATATTTCTCTTATGACAGATGTCCTTAAAAATGCTCTCAGACAAGTCAAGCCACCCAAAGCACGTCACCAGTATTCAGCATGTCTTTACCTGATCTGCAGAGTTCATCTCTTGGAATTTCCCTTTTTATTGAATAGTATGTAACCAGTCTTCTGTCTGGCACCGACTGAATAGAGCACCGGAAAAAATTACATTCTCAGGATAACCATGATTCTGGGGTGCTGGGTGACAGGGATCTATTAAACCATATGCACATGTATAGTTCCCCACCAGAGAATGTTTGTTGGTCTCTGCTTTATAAATATTATAAATAGACCCCTGAGGCCCCTTTCCCACTGGAGTTGCCCATTCCAATCCGTAGGAAATCCATGATGTATTCGTACCCAAGCAATAAATACTGGGAAGATTACATCAGCAGTGCATTGCTGGGATATCTCTTCTGTAATCTCATGACATGTCATGGAAAGGCATTTTCCTCCACTGAGATGATGTGCATGGTCACATGTGATGTCCTAGTCCAGGAAGTAAAGGGAGATGGATTCCTCTGCCTTTAGTTAAAATGGCCACTGTCAGAAGACTGGGGAAGAAAATACAAATAAGGTATGCAAAGAATAAAAAGCCGGCCATTATCTAGAAGTATCCGTTTGTAGATTATCATTATGAAACATTTCCGATGGGGCCTTTGTTGTTATTTTAAAGATATGGGTAAACTTTCTCTTTAACAATATTTTTCTGAATATATCCTTACTCACAGTTTGATGTTATAAAATCCCCTCGCTCTGTATACTGGGGAGCATTCACTGCACACTTTCACCATCACACATCTACACCTATCCATAGTGTTGTCGGGGCAAAGCCATTGGAGGACAAAGAGTAAGGGGCATTGCTTTGAACAGAGGGCTTTGGAGCTGCTGGCGTATCATGATGTAGTTCTGGATGTAGGAGTGCAGGTATAAGGGTGGCTCTAGGTGACCCTATGAGGGAGAGAAGCCAACCTATATACAGTAATGGGGTAGAGAGCATTTAGGAAGGCTAATTATAGATACATAAAATCCTGTATACAAAAAGCACACAGTGGGATACTAAAAGCAAAGGTATGGTGCTATATGCTTTACCCTTGTAGGGTTTTAAGTAGGGATGCTCTGATGCCGATACTTGTATCGGTATCAGTGCCGATACCGAGTATTTGGGTGGGTACTCATACTTGCCCAAATGCTTCGATACTTACCTCCGATACCAAAACTTCCGGTCAGAGGGAGATGCAGAGGGAGCATTTCGCCGGCTCAATCAGAAAGTCGGGTGGTGACTAGGAAGCCGGCTTCACATGTTGCCAAAAAGCCTGGCTTCCTAGCCAATCAGGAAGCCGGGAGGCGGGTCATGATGTGTTGTCCGGCTTCCTGATTGGCTAGGAAGCCAGCTTCACTTGTTGATAGGCAGCCTGGCTTCCTAATCAATGAGGAAGCTGGGCGGCAATCATGACTCGCGTCCTAGCTTCCTGATTGGTCAGGAAGCTACACTGCCTAGAAACAAGTGAAGCCGGCTTCCTAGCCAATCAGGAAGCCAGGAGGGGGGTCATGACTTTCCGCCTGGCTTCACTTGTTACTAGGCAGCCTGGCTTCCTGACCAATTAGGAAGCCGGACGGGACCTCATGACTCGCTAGAACACCGGCTTCACAGGCAATAAGGAAGCCGGGCAACGTGTCATGATTCACCGCCCGACTACCTGATAATCGGGGCACAAGGCACTGGTACTCAGTATCGGCGAGTACCAAAAAACAATATCAGTACTCGTAGTCGATACCGAAAAACCAGTTTCGGAGCACCCTAGTTTTAAATGTATGTAAATGCTAACTAAAACTTTTATTAGTTGCTCCCTTCCACTATGTGGACTGCAGAACACGTCCCCCATTTGATATGGAAAAAGGTAGAGGGCAAGGTATTCTAGTAGTCATCATGTCTTGGAGTGACAATGCTGCTCCTCCATAGATACAGTGCAGTGAGTGAGCATTGCTACCTAGGACAGGAAGTATGTTGCTTGCAGGTTCACCAGGTGAAAATAAAGAATAAAGAATGGCATGCTACAATATATGACATTTTTGTTATAGGGTTTACATAACGCTTTAATAGCACTTTATCGGTTAATCCAGACCCTGGGGGGAGGGGGGCATTGTCGGTAGAGCTAAGCAGCAAGACATGCAGTGTCGGGTGTGCTGGGTAGCTGGAGGGGGTTGCAGTGGCAGGAGAGCTGTGTAGCAGGCAGGGGGGTGCAGTGGCAGGGGAGCTGAGTAGCAGGGGGTGCGTGTCCATGTTTCAGCAAAGTAAATAAAAGGGGTGCTGGATGACATGGGAGTGCAGTGTCGATGATAATGATGATAAAGGAATACAAGCTTACATGGGGTCGTAGTGTCAGGGGTGTTAAGTGATGGGAAATGCACTGTTGGAAATGTCGGTGACAAAGGGATACAGTTAGAGGTAATTTTGGGATGCAGGTGACAGAAGGAAATAGGGTAACAAGTGGGTATAGTATATACCGTAGTATAGTGTCAGGGGTGTTGAGTGACAGGGGTTGCAGTTTCGGGGATGCTGATGACAATAGGATACGCAGTGTCTGTGATTCTGGTGGCAAATGGGTACAGGGTTACAAGGGGTTTATAATCAGGGGTGTTCGTGGCAAGGGATGCAGTGTTGAGGATGCTGGTGGCAAAGGGATACATGGGTTACAAGGGGGTGTAGTGTCACTGGAGTTTGGAGTGCATGTCGGGATGCTGGTGGCAAAGGGATGCAGGGGTTACAGGGGGGTGCAGCGTCAGTGGAGTTGGGTGACAGGGATGGTGCAGTGTCAGGATGCTGGTGGCAAAGGGACACAGGGGTACAAGGGGGTGTAGTGTCAGGGGTGTTGAGTGACAAGGGGTCACTGTGTACAGTAGTGGGGTTCGGAAAGGGAGTACAAGAGTCAACTCTGCTGAAGTTAATACTTGCTGACATCACTGTTGTCATCTTCAGCACTGGGCAGTGAGCAGGACAGAAGACTGGCACATGTTGGCATCAGCTGCCATTGGAGTCAATCAGCACTCCATGGAAGTAGTGTGTCTATCTTTCCTCCAAGAATGGAAATAGAAGTATATTGTCAGGGTATACTAGAGGAAATGGCAGTATTGATGCAAGTAATGTGTCTATCTTTCCTATATGATTGGAAAGAGAAATATATTGTCAGCAGTGACAGTGGGAGGCTCTGAGACAGAGGCTGACACGCTGTACACATATATATATATGGAGAAGAGGAGGACCAGGAAGTCCAGGAAAGGACCGGCAGGCATGTGCTTAGAAGGAGGAGGAGGAGGAGGAGGAGGAGGGAGGGCGGCTGGGAGGAAGTGACTTGTCTGTGGAAGGGACATATGGGGAGGAGGAATGTGGAACGTTGGATTCCCTGTGTCCTAGGTGCCAGTGTAGCTGGAGGCTGCCAGGGACAGATTCGTTAAAATAAGGGACTTCACGGAGCACACAAAGGATCCTCTGCAGACAAAAAAATGGCTTCTATGGCGGCTGCAATAGCCGCGGCTCGGACTGCCGTGTCAGGTAACCGACCCCTGGACGAGAAGGAGAGGAATCGGTTTGCATATTTCTCTTCCCTCAACTCCATGGCCAAAAAGATCATGCAGGATAAGGAACGGATCCGCCAGCGCTATGGAACCCAATGGGAGAAGATGCCGCCCAAAGAGCAGGACGAAGCCATAGACAAGAGTATGGTGGACCCAGAGCTCCAGAAGAGATATGCCCTGCACAGAGGAGACGCTGACACCCAGCCAGACCCCTGCTACCCGGTGCTCAAGACACAGCCAGGCCAGAAGGTGGTGCACTTCGGAGAGGAGGTGGGTACAATGCCAGGGACATAGACACTGCATGGGGTGACATGGACATTGGCATACTGCATGGGGTGACATGGACATAGACACTTCAAGGGGTGACATGGACATTGGCACACTGCATGGGGTGACAAGGACATAGACACTGCATGGGGTGACAGGGACATGCCACATACACATTGCAATGGATGCCTGGGGCATAGGTGCATAGACACTGCATGGGATGACAGGGACAAGGGCCCCTGCATTGGGTGACAGGGACATGAGCACATGGACACTGCATGGGATGACAAGGACAATTTGACACTGCATAGGATGGCAGGGACATCGGCACATGCATGGGGTGACAGGGTCATGAACACATACACATGGGATGACGGGGACCTGGGCACAGAGACACTGCATGGGATGACGGGGACCTGGGCACAGAGACACTGCATGGGATGACGGGGACCTGGGCACAGAGACACTGCATTGGATGTCGGGGATGTGGGCACAGGGACACTGCATTGGATGTCGGGGACGTGGGCACAGGGACACTGCATGGGATGTCGGGGACGTGGGCACAGAGACACTGCATGGGATGTCGGGGACGTGGGCACAGAGACACTGCATGGGATGTCGGGGATGTGGGCACAGAGACATTGCATGGGATGTCGGGGATGTGGGCACTGGGACACTGCATGGGATGTGGGCACTGGGACACTGCATGGGATGTTGGGGACGTGGGCACATGGACACTGCTTGGGATGACGGGGACGTGGGCACAGGGACTGCATGGGATGATGGGGATGTGGGCAAATAGCCACTGTATGGGATGATGGGGATGTGGGCAAATAGCCACTGTATGGGATGACAAGGATGTGGGCACTGAGACACTGCATGGGAGGACCGCGACATGGGCACTTGCATGGGATGACAGGGGTGCATAGACACTGCGTGGGGTTCCCGGGACAAGGTTATGTACACACTGCATGGGATAACGGGGACATGGGCATATACACACGCATAATGGGCAAGACCTGTGACTTCAATGCCCCTACCTGTATAGTAAATACCTCATGATGATCCAAGCTCTATGACCAACACAATATGTATGTACTGAAACATGATGTTAAACATGTGTTATATTAATGGTTGCTGATTTACTAGCCATAGCCAGGTGGATCTGTTTCCTCAGCAAGCCTCACATGGTGTGTCTTTAAAACTGTATGTAAACCCTAAAATCTACAATTGATAAATGGTATCTTAGCCTGCTTCGTGTCTTGGCAGTCATATTGTTTTTATTTCCAGGCTTCCTTTTTCTTCTGTCTAGACCTGGTGGTGCTGCCAGTATCGGCCTTCCTGGTAACCTCTGTCCCTAGGCTGCCATAGTGTGAGTCTGTGGAGATGTAACTTTGTCACCCTAGGATGTGCGCCCTGTTGCAGTACCAGCTGACCTGTTGACACAAATCAGCTTGATTGACATAGTCACCAGCCACTGTTCAACAGCATCAGAACCTTTCCTAGCTCAGCTGATGTCCCATGACCATGTCATGCACCGGTGGTTGCAGCAGCTTGCACGGCGCAATGCAAAAAGTATGTTAAAGATATCTATTTTAATTTACGTGACACCTCGGGGTCATTTAGAAAATGAGCACTTCCTGTATAACCGTGCTTCTCAACTGGTGGATCGCGACCCTGTGTTCAGTGGGTCACCGTGTGCCTTCCAATGAGCTAGGTGAAAGACTCCTTAGCCTCCCCCTAGTGCAGCACTGTCATTTCTGTGCTGCACTCCATGCAAAATATGCTGCCTGGCACCAAGTGTCAGCTTGAGGTGGGGTGGGCTGGGGTATGACCACAAGGGATCTCCATCCATACGTGCATTGCTTACTGCTCCCTCGCATGCCCTGTAGAGGTGCCTGAAGCGGAGTGACGTTACATTCTGGCTCCCGACACCTTTGTGGTGCACGCAAGGGAGCTGTACAAGCAATGCACATATGGATGGTGCTCCGTCACAGCACAGCAACCCACACTGGACCCCAGGCTGAGGATCCACTCCAGTTCTCGTAAGGTAGGAAGACTGAGGGATCTTAAAGAAAAAAAAAATCACACATTTTTTTGGAGTGGGTATGTGTGAGATTGTGGTTGTGTGTGTCTGTCAGTGTTATTGAGGGCCCGTTCACACTAGTACAGTGTGTTAATTGTACAGTCCCGTACGATTAACGCACTGTAACGCATTCCGTTCTGGTGTTGCATTGCCATTCATTTGAATGACACCTCAAACGCACCCCCCACCCACAGTTTGATCGCCCGCACCAGAGCATGCACTACTGCAGTGTGCGTGGTGCGACTTAATGACCAAGGACAAATGTGGGTCCTGTGGTTACACAGGTTGAGAGCCACTGCTGTAAAAGAATAGCATCTATACTTGCCTTTCTGGAAGCCCGTGTCTTCAAATGCCACCACTTTGCCGCACCCTGGCCGCTGCAGGCGTTCCACATTTCTGGGTGTGTGAATATCTTGTTCCGGCTGTATTTCAGTTTACATGATAGAACGTCATTACAGGAGGTATGGAAATATTTCTGAGCATTTCTATGATTTTTCTGTCACAAACTTTTTATTAATTTTCAACAATCAATAGACAAATAAAGGACGAAAATAAATCCGCTGGCGCAGCAGCAACAACCAGCTCTGTAACCATAGGTATTATAAATCATCATAACTTCAACAACGTCTACATATTCAATGAGTGTAAAATGAAGAAAGAGAAATAAGCGGCATAACGTCTCTAAATGCCCTGATGGCTCCACCAAAATTCCTGCACTAGGAACTATCTAGTGGTATATCCGGAGAGCAAGGACACTGATATCACGTATTGACCAACCCCAACGGGCTGAGTTAGCTTATAAACATAAAGTAAATTCCCAAAAATGGAAAAAGAAGTTAAAAAACAATCGGGGGGAGAGGGGCAGAAAAGAGTGAAACAAGAAAAGGAAAGAGAGAAAAAAAGGTAGAAGAAAAAGAAACAAGGGAGAGTAAAGAAAAGAACCAGAAGAGAAAACAAGTGAACAAAAGTGTAACGAAAGAGAGTAGGTTGAGCGGGGACCCCCTCAGAAAAAGCAAACCAAAGTAGCTAGGAAGTCACTAGTTCAGGGTCAAAAGGGCCGGATAATAGCTTTTGCTCTCAATAACACACACTAGGGCCCTGGTACCCAACACTTGGCCCGCCTGCAATCCCTGTGTGGCCAACTGTGTCCTGGGCTGGATCCGCCTCTTGGGTACCTTCAAACAGGAATACATGTCTTGAAATGCACCATTCTCTGTGTGGCCCACTGTGTCCTGGGCTGGATCCGCCTCTTGGGTACCTTCAAACAGGAATACATGTCTTGAAATGCACCATTCGCTGTGTGGCCCATTGTGTCCTGGGCTGGGTCCGCCTGTTCCTTAGCTTTTTAAACAGAAATACACGTGTCGCAATGTTCCAGCCATGCAGCATGGGAGGTACGGCGATGCCTTGCCCCTCACTCTGCTGTAGCCTTACAAAACACAGCTGACAGCAGGGCACAACCCGGTGAAGCTCACCCTGTTCCAGCCAATCAGAAGTGGGGGACTCCTTCTGCCTAGTGGGCTGCAGCTGTCTTGAAAATAAGCTTTTTAGAAGTTCTAGAGGAGCGGTGCAGTTTGTTTTAGATGGATTACATATATATAAAAAGCATGTGCACTGTGTCGTGGCTGGATTTATAAACAATGGAGAGGGGAACACTGGGGAATTTGTAACGGATGGGGGGTGGGTCAATGACTGATGGGTGAAGGGGGGGCTGAAGTGATTGATAATTGCAGTGGACAGCTGTTACAGTAGGGCAGGGATGGCCAAACTGCGGCCCTACAGCTGTGGTGGAACTACGAATCCCATGAGACTTTGCAAGATTCTCGCAGACATGACTCCCTGAGAGAGATGCTTCATGGGATTTGTAGTTTCACCATAGCTGGAGGGCCGGAGTTTGGCCATCCCTGCAGTAAGTGGCTGGGACTAATAGGTGAAGGGGGACTTTTGACTAGGCATGGCTGTGTGGGTGTGCTCTAAGGAATCCGGGGGCACTCTCGCTGCCATGTTTTGCAGAGATAATTTTTTTTTACTGGTTACGTGTTATTGTAATGTATTAATAGCAAATTTATTAAATGAAGGGAGGTCAGAAAAGTTTGGGCTCTAATTCTACTTTTAAGGGGCACCTCTCCAAACTTGTATATAGTGTGTGTCTTTTCCAGAAAGTAGCATGCCACCACAGCGTGCAGCAATGCCGGCGATCTTGTGAGTTGCCAAATTGTATTGTTGGAGGCATTAGTGTTTGCGTTACTGCTGTCTATATTTACTCTTTGCTCTCTCGCAGAAATCTTTTGCACGGAACACTTCAGAGTGTGTTGGATGCCTGTACCATCCCACCATTCAGCTGTGGTTCCATCAGCCGGCCGATATGTTACTAGTATTTCTCCGCAGCTCCAAAGGGACACGCTAATGGCGAAACAGCTGGCACGCTATAATGGAAACCTGTTAATCGGCATCACAGCTGGAATTTTCACACAGGAGAAATCATGAATGGCAGCCCGTGTATTTCTCTTTAAGATGTGAGAACTCCTGCTGCCGCTCTATTGGTTGTTGATGATCTTTCACTACCTCTGTTATCAAACACTGTTTATTTAATACAATGTAATAGCCGCATACTGGGTCCCGGCTGCTGCTAATACATCTTATTTCCTTTCTTTGCACAACTTCTGTCTAACCACTTTAGATTTGTGAAATAAAGGTCATTTGTGTGTAGCTGTGATGAGAGAGATCTTCCATGGCACTAAATGACTTTCCTGTGTAGGGCCAGTAACTCACAGGAACGGCGGCCTTCTCTCATGGGGATCTTTTTTTCTTCAGATAAGGATCTATAGAAAGGACTTTGCTAACTGGCTGCTTGTGCATTTCCCATAAGATAACAGGACAGAGCATCATTTGTAATATTCTGTTTATTTGGTAAGATGCAATTAAAGAAGACCTCCGGGCAAATTACAAATTAACCCTAGCAGTGGGGCTACCCTATAATTTAGGAACAATATTAACAGGTAATATTTAATCATTCGTTTTGCCCAAGCAGTACCTTGCTTAGGCTCATCTTTTTGTCTTAAATTCCTCCTAAAGAAATAGCCATGCCCTTTGCCTAGTTACTCCTGGGTTTCATGGTTGTATATCTGTAGTATTAGATCTAAGGTACTGCTGTCTCTGACTGCTAGTGTTACGAGATTTGGAGTGAGATTTGATGATACCACTAGTGTGCTACCCACTGTTCTCATAGCTGGACGCTCTGAAATGAGGAAGCAAAGCCCTACCTCTAATACAATTGTCAGCTCTGTATGGACACATGGTACAGAACAAGGCATGGTAAATCAGAAATGGGGAAAGATCAGCTGCAGGAAGATCATGGGCAATACTGGTGACTAGTCCTTTCCCTCTGGCTGCCAGTTTTTTGGCGCAGCTCCCAGAGTTCATTTACTCTTTTTACATAGTTACATAGTATTTGAGGTTGAATAAAGACATTAGTCCATCAAGTCCAACCTATTAGGATCTCATTCTAGGAGTACCCGTACCCCTGTATATTGCGGTCCCTTAAGAAATCGTCCAGAAGTTTCTTGAGGAATTCCACATTATTTGCTGAAATCACCGCCTGTGGCAGTGAGTTCCGGACCCTAACTGACATCAGTACCTGCATTCTGCAGAGAACACCATCCAACATTAACTGGTCCTTTTTTTAATTCTTCAGCTCTGTAGTGCATTTGTTTGTTCTTTTGGACTTGTGGGGTTGTTTCTTGTACAATGGGCTTCTTCTTCTTTCTTCTTTTTTTTTTTTTTATGAATTCTTTATTTATAGTTTTTATGAAATTTGTAACAAAACAGTAAGAAAATAGCATTAGCACAAAGGTACAATGGGCTTCTAACAGCTAAGGCCAGGGTCTGCATTGGGAACTATTGGATAATGAAACATGTCCACGGTGTTATTGTGTTGTGTAAACTTGTACTATTACACTTCTACTTACCTGACTTTTTCAGCTGGCAAGTAGATTGCACCCCTAACTTCTGTATACCCTCAGGGGGTCACTATTTCTGTGTTTTATACTTTCACATCTGTATGTACCTGTAATACGGAATAAAACATATTCTTTACATGAAACATGCGCACAGATTAAAGCATAATTCATAATCTAATAAAGACTTCTTGTTATAACCATACTGACATTTTACTCCTTTTATTTTTCAGGACATAACATGGCAAGATGAACACTCTGCACCATTTTCTTGGGAAACTCGAGTAAGTTCTATTTTTTTTTTTGTTATTGTTTAATTGTGAAGGTTTTTATTTTTTTATAGCCGTTTTCCTGGCAGCAGTGTTTTGGTACTTTCAGTGCTGATGCTTCAGGATACTACTGCAGAGGTTAATAAGGGATTGTGTTAGGGATTAGGGTAGGTTAAGTGCATTTGCTAATGTCCTCCTGTGACCTAAATTCAGCAAATATCAGGCTATTGCTCACTATACGTTGATAGCACAGAGCCGCGCTGCAAGAAAAATCCCGACAAGGTTGCCAGGATCCACCCCCGCTACCTGATTGACAGCTGGCTCTGCCTCTCTAGAGCCAGAATCAGCTATGCCCATCTCCTCCCCTTCTCTGTCCCTCCCAATGAGCTCTGGAGGAACAGCGAGAGGGGAGCAGGGGAATCCCTGCGATGAATGACAGTCACCCCTCTCCGCAGGGAGAAGCCATGAGATGAGTGTTCAGCGGTCTGTGATTGCCCAGCTATGGAGCTGGTGCCGCTGCAGTGTCGCACGCCAGCTCTAACTATTGGGAAGAGTGTATTTTAATGTCCCAATAGTTCTCCTTTTAAGTGTTACTGTTGGCATGAGTTTTAGACCCCGTTCACATTGAGCGATTTATCGCGCGGTAATTCCCGCGATATCGCGGCAAATTACCGCGCGATATCGCGCTCCAATGCAATCCAATGGGGCAAAGGGTCCTGCTGTCGCGGGTCGTGTGTCGCTACAGCAGGACCCTTTTTGGAGCGGATTTAGCCGCGATTCAAGCTTGCTCAATGCAAGCTTGAACGCGACATCGCGCGGCAAATCTCGCGATGTCGCGCAATATGCAAATCGCGTGGCAAGCGCGCGATTTGCATATCGCGCAGTGGGAACGGGGCCTACGGGTCAAGGTAAAGCTGAACTCTAGGCAGATGTTAGACACAAATGAATGCAGTGTTGTATTCAATAATGCATTCATTACATTTATTTGTTTTTTTTAATGAAAACAGTTTAAATATTTGAATTTGACTTTGTAACTGCCACTTGCAGTCCCTGTACAACAAAGCGCAGAAAGCGTGATGGAGAAGCAGCACATGTTCCAACAGTTATTAGTCTGCGGCAGTTATTAGTTATTAGTCTGCGGCTCCTCATTTTATTGTCTAGTCACAGGATGGGGAGGAACATGGTCTGTGTTACTTTACTACTGCAGAGAAAAGGCAAGCGGTCTGTATGATGGGGCTGTGTAGATCTCGGGACTGGATGTACAGAAATTCAAATCCTTTTGACAGGTAAAAGCCTCCATGTATTTCTTTTGTGTATTCAGTAGCTTGTCTGTAGTGTTTGGGAAAGGCTAAGGGTTCATTTTAGGGATTGTATGTTATGGTTTGATGAGGAAAAGGTTACTTGTTGGGGTCTGCTTAACAGTTAAGAATAGCTCAGAGGTTATGGACACTCGAGGGATTTTAGTTTTTGGCACCAAAAAGAACAGCTTTGTACTGAGTTTCCAGTGCCAAATAGTAACAAACAGAATCATTTCTTATTTTTTACATCCATTAAAACAACATTTTCCAGCAGCCTGCT